ATGCTGCTGACTGGACAGAGCCACGTCAGCGACACTCCAGAAGCGAAGGGGAGTGTTGGAAACAATCGGTCCTAAGCGCCTCTGTCGTGTCGAAACACTAAGGCACAAGCGAAGCAAAGCATATCGAGGCACCAGCGAGTCAATGTTGAAAGCCTAAGTTGACTTAGGACTTGGGTTGAGGGTAGAACGAGAGTTACGAGAGGAAGGGGTCGAGAGATTAGCCAAAAAGGGGGAGATTCAATATTGAGCGAGGGTACAAATAGGAAAGAACAAACAAGAAAGGTGCACCACCAAATAGGAAAACGCTATAACATTGTACGTTACTGTACCTAGCGACATTGGTACGTACATGTACCTTTCAAGGCTGCAGATGTATACCCTAGTTCTGCTTCTCCCAGGATTCTATCATCCCACCATTGTACTGCACTGATAGAACAAGAGTTGCACATGATGGCTATTTGTTTTTGTATGGTAGACTTCTTACTGCAATCCTAACTTCACCAACAACACCAAGCTGCTGCTGAGAAGCATATGTGGGAATAGGTGACTGCACGCCTGTTGAGACTTCCATCAGGACACCACAATAGAAGTGAATCTGCAAGACCAAAGCACCAAGTTAGTTATCATAAGTTGCACGGACCATACCGGTAGATGCATGGAAGGTGGGCCACAATGTAACCTACTTTTCCATCAAAGGACCTGACTGGCGATACATGTAGTAGGTTCCAGAACTTCGAACCATCCCTTCTGCACAGGGTTTGAAAGTGCGGTAACTCATGAGCAAACAATCACCCACCAAGGAAAAACTGCAGCGCCCTTCCAGAATCAAGTACTTACCTGTAATTGAGGATATTTACAGAACATGACCTGCTCCCATGTATGGCCTCCCGAAGCTGTCACGCACAAAGTCCATGGCAGCATTGGATCATGCACGTTGCAAAAGAAATGCAAGCAGCATGCGCACGTATCACCAAGGTGTACAATATACAAGTGCATTACCGTACCTGTTGGACATGGTCCGGGTTAGTCTCTGGACCTTGAAGGAAGCGACAGTTTTTTCCCACCACTTCTTGCCAAGAATAACCTGGCAAACATACTTGTCTGTTAGCAATATAGGTATACGAGCAAGTTTTTGGAATCTTGAGTTGCATGTTCTGCACCTGTCATTCTTAAGAAGGGCTTGCTTGCATACACGATGGGATACTCTGAGTTTGTGGCATCTACCCTGCACAATTTCCACTTGTAAGCTGACAAAGCCAAATACGGAAACGAATGCACCTGATGCAGAGAAGGCCAACTCACAGTACAATGCATTGATGGATTCTTGCCAGCGATGTCTGAAGCGTTCCTGGAAGCTGAGGAACCGTGTCAACCGAAGTGCCTGCAGTCTCAGGACCTGCATTTCTCTGAGCGGGTAACGAGCTCTGAAGGAGCTCACAAAAAGAGGCCCACTTATTCGAAGCAAGCTCGGCTGATAGGCGAGCAAGCGACTCATATTCTTGAAAACGCGGGCCATCATCTGCAATGCCGCATACAGAACAAACGAGGTAGCTGGCGTTAACAGTCCATTCTTCAGATTGGACCCACTTCTCAATTTTCATAATTGTGGAATACCGCGAGCTAGGTAGCAATTGCAAGCCTGATGGAAGCTAGGCAACACTATCCTAGCGCGACGGGCATACGAGTTAGTCACAAAATGAATTTATCAGCAACCAGACTGCGCACCATTTTGGCCGATTTGTGCAAGACCAGCACCTGCATCGACAAGAGATGGGCTCTGTCCAGAAGCCAATGTTGTTGTGGCCTCCTCAGAAGCTTCAAACCGAGCAGGCAAACAAGTCTGCACGCCAATGTAATGCTCGAGCACATGTTTCGGACCCATATGAACAGGAGTTATGTGGAAAAGGTTCCAGAATGGAGTACCGTTCTTCGTATAGTTCAAAATCTGAACCTGGCATGACACTTCATTCCTGCACAAACGAATAATTTCCGGAGGGCAGGTGTCAGAATATGGAAGACGGCAGGTGTCAGAATCTGGAAGGATAATAAGATACGACAACCCTGTCACCGACCTAATAGCATCACGTATCTTCACAACTGCTCCCCTATCAGTCCCCGGACCCTGAAGGAATCTGCAATTTCGTCCAAGCACCTCCTTACGGGTGTAACCCGTTAGTTCGAGAAAGGCATCGCTGACATATACTATGGGATTGTCCTGCTGTTTAGGGTCCGTGACCACAAAACTGACATTCACGTCTTTGAGAGCGCAGAGACGCCTCGAAGCGCTCTCTTCCGACATGGTCTTCGCCAGCTGATTCACGGAAAAGCTAAGAGCACGTAAAAAACTACCCTGTATGTGGGAAAGTAAGATCGTTTCTCACAGCTCACTCAAGAGAACTGTGTCGTTCCCCAGACAAGGTGCACAAATCGCAGGAGTGAGGCGAGGGTGACTAGAAGGGGAAATTTGTGGTTGACAAGAGCGCAAATGGAAAGGCGAAACACTTGCCACATCGCCAGAAAAGCACCGTATTCGTGACGTCACTTAGGCGCTTTCAGATTCAGCACAAATAGTTGTACACCCAGGATAAATACTACGTTAGCAATAACAGAAATAACCTGATTCAGGCCATTATGCTGTCAAGTTGAGCTAAACTAGATTTCTTTAACAAAATTAACGCTGTCAATTGGCTACGAATCTGCAAGCGGGCATTGCGATGCCAACACCGTAGGGGTGTTAATTAGGGTAAAGTAAACAGGCACGAATGGAGCCACGATCAGTTAAAATGCCCGCATACCCATGCTTCTGGGAAAAAGAAAGATCCTCCGTCATGCCAGTACGGCAGAAAGGACCAAAGTAACCTCATGTTGCCGCTGGCGCTTCATCTTCCTTCTTATCCTCATGCATTCGAACAACCACAACAGGGCAGTCACCTGAAACACAAAGATTTGAAAGCATTTACCTGAAACGGTCTGCAGATAATATGAGCAATCGTAGAACCAGGAAATAAAGGATTGCAGGACTTACAGTGGTGGACACAGTAGTCACTGACACTGCCCAGGCGTGCCTTCCTTGACCGCTTCTCTGCACCAAACCCTCGGCTTCCCATGATGCAGGCATTGACCCCAGCTCGCTCCACCTGTGATCAGCCAAAGAGGAGTTGCACTGACATTCGAGCCGTGCAAGCAAATGCAAATAGCTGCACAGATAGTATCAACCAGTTTTAGCGACATGCAATCTGTGATGTGTTGAAACGCGTGAAGCACTCGTATCCAGCATACCTCAAGGCAGATACGCTCTTTCATGTCATGATCTTTCACAATGTGGGTCTTGTACTGTATTCCAGCCTCTTCCAATGGAGCGGCAAGATCCTTCGCCTTCGCAACGGTCAGCGCATCGAAATCGTCCTCCATTTTCTGCTTCGTCTCCTTATCAGGAGCTTCCTCTGTTGTTTCCGATGCACCCCAATCCGCACCATATAACACGGAGGTGGGACGAACATGTAACAGCACCACCTGATAAACAACACAACGCCAGTTCACAGACCAGCGATGCGAGGCAGAACAGTCCATACTTTTATATATTTCCCGGTGGTATGACGCTAGCTCTTTTTTTTTACGTCAGATTACCCATCAATTCGAGTCTCGAGCATTATCTTTCCGAGCTTCCGTGCTGCGTCCTTTCCCGATAACACGTTGAACAAAAAACTCACATGGTCTGAAGGTCGCAGGTAGTTCTTGACAGCCCACTTGACCGCGTGAGCGCTTTCATCGCTCAAATCCACGGCTATTGCTATCTTTCGTGCTGGCTCCATGACTCCGCCTCCGTCTTTAACCTCAACCACTTCCGGGGATCGCTGTCGCTTCTTCGCGCCCCTTGGGCCTACCTCTGGAGCCTCTGTAGCCGCCACGTCGGCGAGTGCACAAGACTATCTGATGACAATGTTCCAAAGAAAGGTCGTCCTTCGAATAAGCGGAGCCAGCTACCGTACACGCCACAAAGAACCCTACCCGAAACTGGAGAATGAAATTGTTTGGTGCAGTGGGTTTGCCCTCGCTGGCGCCTGGTCAACTAATGTGTTTCCTATGTTGTGGCTTCACAAATGGTGGAATTAGTGGAGAAATGGCTTTTCGTGTTTGCGATTCCGTTTGGTTGAGGCTGGCTGCCTCGCTCGCCAGCATTCGTTTCCAAGTTGGATTACCTTAGGACTGTACCAGCTTTTTCGCCAGGCAGACCACGGTGCACACCCACATCGCCAGTTCGTTACGTTTCCATTCCATGCTGCAGTGGACAAAAGCTCGGCCATGTCATGATGGGACTTTCAATCTCTTAGCCAAAGACGCGTGGCAGATTAGATGTCCTAAAGTACACTTGTGCTGACAACTTTTGTAGATGCTATATATTTCTATATGTTGCACCAACCTTCATGTTCAGTTCAAGCTTGAAGCTTCAGACGGTTGAAGAGAATGAGAAAGTGCCTCTCAGGTAATGAGAAAACAAAGCCCAGCTCAGCACCATTTGTGTGGCGAGAACCCTGCCGTTCAACAAGCAAATCAACAAACATCAGGATCAGTCATTGGGCAAGGGTATTATGTCTGAATGATCGGATGAAATCGAAGGAGCATGGCGTGTACGGCTTGATGAAAGCACAGTTGTACGAGGCAGGGGAAGGGAGGATTGAGACGAGTTACCTTTCCATCGAAAACAAGCAGTTCGCCGTCCACCCAACGGGGGTTTCTGAACCTGGCTCTGCCAGCTGACCCTGGCCAGGGTACCTAGCAACCTGAAATGACACAAGGCACAAAAACACACTATGGCATGCCCGTCAGGACGGCAAAATCGCGTCCTGTATGTAAGAAATGACTCTGCACACATGTCGTAAAGGCACTGAATGCCGCAGACAAATTTAGACTGAAAAGAGGTGCTTTGCCCCACTTGGTACAGCCCAAAAAAAAACAAAATATAAGCTGCCAGATAGGAGCTGGATGCTCGAATCGATGGATTAATTCGTGGTGGGCTCCTGAGAAAAGCAACCCACACAGGGAACAGCCCGTGAACAAAGGGATGCAGCGTGCAGTGACTCACCACACCCAGCTCATCAGGGTACACCCCTCGGAACGGCATCTGCCAATGCCGCCCGATCTTAGCTCGAAAAGACACCTGCGGGCAAACACACGCACTCCACGCTTATGTAGAGCAGTACCAACATCACTAGTCAGGCAAGAGCTCAAACCACAGACCAGCAACACAACAGCACCAGGAAATCTCAGCGTCACACCACAACTCGAGAAAAAACAAAGAATATAAACTTTCAAGCTAATAGCAGCCAAATAAACTAAGCACTATAGCTGAAGTCCCCGTCCCAGCGGAGGTATGGTCACAAGAGTATTACCTTCCCAGCAGGCACATTGAAGTCGCCTGTGAGCTTCACCCCCTCCACGTACTCAAACGGCGGCACCAGTGCCCGCTCGCCCTGCCTCTTCCTCCCCCCAACCCTCTCCCCTGCCTTCCCAGCCTGGCTCTCCTGCTCTTCCCCCTCTGGCTCCTCCCACGTGCCGAACCTACGCCTGACCTGAATAGCCTCGGAAGTGTACGGACCATACGCACCCACGTACAATCCTAAGGGTGTACGTGGTGAAAAGGGGAGAGACAAGCAGGGGTAATATTTAGTGGGGGTGTGCAAACCGAAACGCAACAACCCGTGAAGCAGCAGGAGAGAGTTCCAGAGCGTTTCAGAACCCAGGAAAACGTTACAGACAGAAAGAGAGGCTTATGGGCTCAGAACAAAAGGTGCATGTACCAGCAAAGGGGTCGGTGGAGGCATCGGCGGCATGGATGCGGGTGAAGGCGGTGGTGCGGGGCAGCGTGTAGCGCCTCCTCTGCACGTGCTGCACTGCCGTGCGGATCAGCTGTGCTACGTCCTTGTCCTTGAACACCTCCTGGCAAGATGATGGTGATGGTGAGGGCAGGATAGGGGACAACGGATAAAGGGGAAACAGGTACAGCATGCATAGGGCATAGATCAGCTGTGCCACGTCCTTGTCCTTGAACACCTCCTGGCCATGGGGATGGTGATGATGAGAACCACACAGGGCCGAGGCCGGACGAATAATGCGCACGTCAGAATTCACAAACGGCAGAAAGATGGAGGAATGGAGGAGCGAGGATAGAATGCAGGAGAGGGGTGATATGGTTGGGAAGGGTCTTACGGGTCCTGAGAAGCGGTCGACGCCCCACAGCTGCTTCGCCACGTCCTCCGGCATCAGGTTGGCCGCTGCCCTCGTTTGCTGCTGACGCCAGCCGCTCACTCACCGCTGCCGCCACCGCTGCTGACCTGCGATGAGGAGGAAGGGGAAGAGGAGGGAGATTGGGACGCTTCTGGGTCAGTGGCAGATGTTCCCGTGCTGCCGCTGCTGCTGCTAGCTGCATCCCCGTCACCCTCGCTGTCCTCCACAGTGAGCACGAACGCGTCCTTGCCTCGCCACTCTATCCTCGCAGGCACCTTGCTCACGCTCTCCCCCGCACCATCCCCCGGGAACACCCCCCCCACCACCACGCGCACGGCAATGCCCTGCCGCCCCTCTGCATCCTCCGATCCTTCCTCACCGTCGCTCCGCTCCGCCCCGCCTTCTCCCTGCCCACCACCAACTCCCCCCCTGCCTCCACTGCTTCCTTCTCTGTCCAGCCACCTGAATCTTCGTTCCTGCCTGATTCTCCTCGGCTGCTGCTGCTGCTGCTGCTGCTGCTGCTGTTGCTGCTGTCACTGACACTAGAATTCCTACTATCACCTGAGCCCTCGCCGAGCATCCCGTTTCTCTCTCGGAACGCCCTCAGTCGCCTCAAGTCCCGCTCTGGCAGCTGACTGGCACGCCTTGGGTCGTCCGCTCCGCCGACCCTGCTCCCTGCTCCTGTACCTGCTCCTGCTGCCTGTACAGACTGTGCTGCAGCCTCTCCCACTTCAACTGCCTCACTAACGCCTCCATCAGCTTCAGGAGTCACACTACTGGGTCCCTGCTTTCTGCTCTCCCCTTCACTCGTGTCACCCCTGCCTGGAACAATCCCTTCACTCGCATCGTCGCTTCCATCTGCTCGTTTCAGCCCCTCACCAACCTCTACGCCATCACCTGCATCACTGTCACTTCCAGAACCCCCCTCCTTTGCTCCCATCGCCCGCTGCTGCTGACGCTGCTGCCTCCCCCCGCTGCAGCAGCAGCTGCAGACTCCCTGTCCCTCGCTATCCGGTTCACCACATCCTCTACTATTCGTGGAATATCTGCAGTTCCCGCCGCGCCCGACACGTCTGGCGCTGCCACGTCAGCAGGGGACACCACCGGGAAGACCCGCAGCTTCACGTCTGGTAGCCGCTCTCGGAAGAAATCGAGGACCCGCGATAAGCTATCGTCGGCGCCGGGTGGGAGAGACGAGGGGGGAGAGGAGGCAGAGGAGGCAGAGGAAGGGGAGGAGGGAGGGAAGGAGGCAGCGGAGGGAGAGGGAGGAGGGGTGGGTGGGACTGGTGAAGGTGAAGTCTGGCCCGAGGCTGGATCTGCAGGGGATTGAGATGAAATGCCTCCCTTCTCCCCTGCTCCTGCCCCTGTGCCTGGACCACCCACTTTGCCTTCCTCTGCTGTTTGCTTCTTTCCCCAGCTGAACGACACAGCATCCTGAACCCTTTGCACGCTGGATGGTGACGTGGATGGCGCGGACGCGGATGTTGATGATGATGGGGACGAAGACGAGGGGGCAGCATCGGAAGCGCTGCTGCTGTTCGAAGCAGAGGTGCTTGGCGGAGGGTTTGTGGTGGTGGTGGAAGCGCCTTTGGCCTGCATGGTGGCTGTCTCATGGTGGAGGTACACGGCCTGCACAGGTAGTGGAGAAGAGAAACAGGGCCGGGGGGAAGAAGGAACTGGGTTGAAACGGCACAATCATGCATGCAGGCTAGTAGTGGTTCACGCTCTTCACCTCACAGTAGCATTCGTTTTACAGCATCAAGTGAAATGCACATTCTGCGGTGCCAAAGATAGATGTGCAGTCGAAACAGCATAGCGCGCACCTGGCGGTCGTATCGCTTGGGGTTGGCGGCATTGCGCGCCACATAGACCTCGAAGATGGGAATGCCCTGCCCTGCCACGGACAGCTGCCTGCCAACATCACACAGACACAACCACAACGTGCAAGGTACGGAGGGAATCCTTGAACTGGCGGATGCAAGAACATAAGCGCACGTCGGCAATATTCCCATCCATGTGCCCATATGCTCACGTTCACCCTCTTGACCTCGACGGGTCACGGAACCATGCATGGCAACATGAATGGAAGGTTGTTTTTGAGGCTTCTCAAGAACAACCTTTTGTAATGGGGTCATGCATGGCGGCTTACTTGGCAGTGTACGACTTGGCGAGCAGCTTGCCGTGCTGCTGTGACACGTGCACCAGCCGCCCAAAGGGGTCTGCTGACCCACTCTCGTCCAGGCCCCGCCCACCACCCCACCTGCACGCACATGCAGAGAGAGCATGAGCCCAGCACATGCAGAGAGAGCATGAGCCCAGCACATGCAGAGAGAGCATGAGCCCAGCACATGCAGAGAGAGCATGAGCCCAGCACATGCAGAGAGAGCATGAGCCCAGCACATGCAGAGAGAGCATGAGCCCAGCACATGGCACATCACGTCCTCGAGCTCCCGTTCACGCATCACATTCCTGGTGGCGCTGCAATCTTCTTCGTCTTTGCCTTGGCATCTTCTGAGACGCCCTCAAAAATGCAATCTTCTTCATCTTTACCTTGGCACCTTCTGAGACGTCTCAAACATGCAATCTTCTTCGTCTTTGCCTTGGCATCTTCTGAGACGTCTCAAACATGCAATCTTCTTCGTCTTTGCCTGGCATCTTCTGAGACGTCTCAAACATGCAATCTTCTTCGTCTTTACCTTGGCATCTTCTGAGACGTCTCAAACATGCAATCTTCTTCGTCTTTGCCTTGGCATCTTCTGAGACGTCTCAAACATGCAATCTTCTTCGTCTTTGCCTTGGCATCTTCTGAGACGTCTCAAACATGCAATCTTCTTCGTCTTTGCCTTGGCATCTTCTGAGACGTCTCAAACATGCAATCTTCTTCGTCTTTGCCTTGGCATCTTCTGAGACGTCTCAAACATGCAATCTTCTTCGTCCTTGCCTTGGCATCTTCTGAGACGTCTCAAAAATGCAATCTTCTTCGTCTTTACCTTGGCACCTTCTGAGACGTCTCAAACATGCAATCTTCTTCGTCTTTGCCTTGGCCATCTTCTGAGACGTCTCAAACATGCAATCTTCTTCGTCTTTGCCTTGGCATCTTCTGAGACGTCTCAAACATGCAATCTTCTTCGTCTTTGCCTTGGCATCTTCTGAGACGTCTCAAAAATGCAATCTTCTTCGTCTTTACCTTGGCATCTTCTGAGACGTCTCACAACATGCAATCTTCTTCGTCTTTGCCTTGGCATCTTCTGAGACGTCTCAAACATGCAATCTTCTTCGTCTTTGCCTTGGCATCTTCTGAGACGTCTCAAACATGCAATCTTCTTCGTCTTTGCCTTGGCATCTTCTGAGACGTCTCAAACATGCAATCTTCTTCGTCTTTGCCTTGGCATCTTCTGAGACGTCTCAAACATGCAATCTTCTTCGTCTTTGCCTTGGCATCTTCTGAGACGTCTCAAACATGCAATCTTCTTCGTCTTTGCCTTGGCATCTTCTGAGACGTCTCAAACATGCAATCTTCTTCGTCTTTGCCTTGGCATCTGACGATGTCTTTCAGGCAGTCTATGAACTGCTTGCCCTCGTTTGATCCGTGATCCTTGCCCTGATAACAGACCAGCCTGGGTTCTTTCCCTCCCAGGTCACATGTGCTGCTCGCACTCACCAGGCCAGCCCCAGCATCGTCGCGAAGGTGTTTGGCATCGCCGTACCTCTCCTCCGCCACTGCCGCCTGCTTGCCAGGCGCAGAGGGGCGAGAGAGAGGCAGGGAGGTCAGAGGGGAACCAGGCAGGGGAACGCGAATGAGTGGAGAGAGGGGAAAGGCACGGGGGAAAACGAGGCAGGAAAGCCGGGCAGGGAAGCAGGGCATGAAAACGGGACAGGGAGGTCAGCGAGGATAGGAGAAACAGCCATGTGTTGGCACCTTGAGCTCTCTGAAAACGGCAGCCATGGCGTCTTGGTCCTCCACCGCGCGGATGGCGGCCTGCAGCTTGGCGGCTGCCGTGAAGTCCTCGTCTCCCACCAGGTCGTCCAGTTGAAACTGCACAGACAGAGGGGTGTAGGTGCGGGTGAGTCCATGAGGGTGCGAGGAAGACAGAGAACGTCTTGATTCAAAAGGCTGCAGCGAAGTCCTCGTCGCCCACCAGGTCGTCCAGTTGGAACTGCGCAGACAGAGGAAGGTAGGTGAGTCACCCACAGGGCGAGAACACGAGAACGAGAGTGCGTGCCAGCACGAGAGCAAGCGAATAGCAGGAGAGCAGGAGAGGGGTGTGAGAGAAGGAGAGGAGAGGAGAGGAGAGCAGGAGAGAAGGGTCGAAAAACGAATCAATCTTAGCGTGTTTCCTGTCCCCACCTGCAGACTCGTCAGCATGGCTTCTCGCTCCTCCACCTCTCCAAACACCCTCTCCCACCGTTGCCACGCCGTCTCCCCGCTCCCATCATCCCCCTCCACCTCCTCACCCCTCAATCCAACCGCTTCCTGACCAAACCCCCCTGCACCCCCGACCAGGCTTGTCTTATCGAAATAGTCTTGCAGCCGTTGGGCTGCCACGGCCACCATTCCCTTGAAAGGATCGCTTCCGGATTCGCGGCAGCGGCTGCTTCTTCTATCCGTTGCAAGCGCTCCTTGGCGCGGTTCTGACAAGCTGCTGGGCCGCGAGGATGGCTCGTCGGATTCATCTGACGGATTTGCCTCAGGTTCAGGCTCCTTGGCGAGGTATTTGCTCACGGATGCGTCGCTGGAATCATCTGGTTGACGACCCTTGGAGTTGGACTCGTTCGGATTGGACAGCTTGCCGATTGGCGAATCTGCTTGTGTTTCGCCAAGCTTGTCGCCTGAGAATGTATCATCCGGGGTTTGAGAGGACTCGGGGAAAGAGTCGTCCGATGGGCCAAGCTTGGAACGAGCAGCGAGCAGGCTGTGCTGTGACATGCTTCTGAATGAGCCCTATCTGACGGAAACGGGTTCGTGAAGCATGGTGAGAGGAATTCCGAGCGAGATAAATGGCGCTGAGGGGGCGAAGTTCGGAACGAGCGTTGGTTGCTTAGACGGCCTGATGGACCGAATAGACAACGATGGTAGTCCAAGCGAAAATTTCCGAAACGACTGTGACTGTGAGGTAGGCCGGAGTACACGCGAAGGTACTAGCTTCAAGCTGCGAGGCCTAAGAAGCAAGGGAGCGTCTAGCGTAAACATGGCGAACCGTAAGCAGCAGTAGTTGTCCTAACGCCGACGGAGCACAATGGTGATGAGTTTCCTTGTCCTAATCCACAATGCGTGGTGAAGTATCTGGACGATATTTTGAGCGTCGAACTTACTTACTGCACGATAGTCAGAGAAATGTCAGGCAGCGAGCCATCAGTGATCAACCCTGCTGAGATGATTTCAGCCATTCTGCCCTGGAGTTGCGACACACACTCGGGTAAACCGTTTCGCCTGCCAAAACGCCAGTGCCTCGCAAATCCCCCCCTAGAGAGTCATGCCAAACAGCAGCTGCCCCGAGGCTTCTGGATTTTTGCTGTTGAGGCTCGGCTCACGTGAGTGCTTTTTGCAGGTAGCCACGGAGGTGGCTCACAGCTTCGGTTCGGGTTAACCAATCAGACCTACGTGGTGCTCTTGACAAGCCGAGTCAGCCTCTGACTCGAAGTTTGTGAACCTGCCCAAGCAGAAACGAAGCCAGTGCTCAGCGGCCACGTGTTCTCGACCACTAATAGCCACTCGGAGCAACTGTTGGTCAGGTGAACATAGCTGGCGATTCGGTTCGGAGAGCCTCCCCTTGACATTCTCCCCACTGGTCTCCACCCCGCCAAGTATATTCTCATTCTGCCATGGCGGCTGTTTAGAGTCTGCATTTGAGAATTATTTTCCACTCTCGTGAAACACCATGTTCACTATCTCGACGTCCGAAGTCGCCATTTCCCAGCTTCACTCCCTGACCTCAACTCGATTCTTACGTTCACATAAACCGATAAATAGCACTTCAAACAGCTTTTTCCCGCCATGCAAACAACCACCTTTCAACCCCAGGCGTCCTCTCCGTCGCAGCTGCGCCGCTGCAGCAGCAGATAACCAGGCGAGTGAAGCGGAAGTGACGGAGATCAACGTGTGCGTGGGGAAGACCTGTCGCAAGGACGGCGGGTTGCAGACGCTGGACCACTTCCGCGGCCTCGCGCCGCCGCACGTGAATGTTGACTCGTGTGGATGCTTGGGTGAGATGACAGTTCGTTTCGTGGCGTATGACGCATGGCGTGAAGGAGATGTCTGGATGCAGATGAAGCAGCAAAACCACTCACTTCTCTCCAATTTTTTGGCAGTTCTTCGCGTAAAACTGTGAGCTCTTGCTGGTCATGACGCACGGTCAGGCAACATTGACCGGCACTTCTATCTTCCTGACCCCTCCTTACAATCACAGGGCGGTGCGGAGCAGGCCCCAATCTGGTGCTGCTGCCGTCGCAGACGATCATCCGGCACTGCAGCACGGCGGCGCACGCGGCACGGCTGCTGGAGAGGCAGTGCGCGGGGGGCAGCGCGGAGACGAATCTTGCAGCTCTGGAGTTGAAGGGTCGCGGCAATGCAGCTTTTGAGAAGGGACGAGCGGACGAGGCTGAGATGCTCTTCACCCAGGTGAGTGCGCTGGGAGATGGAAGGGGTGTGGGGGAGGAGGGTGAGGAGGAGGGAGCTAGGGGTGTCTGATTATCTTTCAATGCTGCTAGTTCTCCCTTCTTCTTCCTCACCGCGTTTGGCCTCTCCCGGCCGCATCTCTCGCAGGCCATTGAATTGGTGCCTGTTGGGGGAATACACAACCTGCTTTGCAACAGGTGAGTAGTGCAATGCTGGCCTGAAAGGCTCCTGTCGGCAATGTAGACCCTTTTCATATATATTCCTGGTTTGTGGTGTCTTGTCTGTGCCAGATGATTGAGCCTGAGCATTCCTTCCTGTGCAATGTACTACTGCATGTGCTGTATCCCCATGCAACTGAAGATCTGCCGCAAGGGTGGCATGTGGTAACCCAATGGGAGCACTGGAAGACGCTGAAGCTGCGGCAGCACTCAAGCCTGGTTGGTCCTCGGTAAGCCCTGCCTTACCCCTTCTTCCCATGCCTGAACGCAATAGGGCTCCTGTGCCACCCACCTGTGCCACCCACCTGTGCCACCCACCTGTGCCACCCACCTGTGCCGCCCACCTGTGCCACCCACCTGTGCCACCCACCTGTGCCACCCACCTGTGCCGCCCACCTGTGTCACCCACCTGTGCCACCCACCTGTGCCACCCACCTGTGCCACCCACCTGTGACACCCACCTGTGCCACCATCCTCCTCAGCTTGCTTGTTATTCCCTATCCCCCTCCTGTTTCCCCATCACCTTCATTCTCCAAACCCTCAGGCAGTGATTCGAAGAGGAGAGGCGCTGGCAGCGCTGGGGCGGGTGAGGGAGGCCCTGGAGGTATATGAGAGGCTGGCCGACACAGACGCTGAATTCAGGCGCTCCAAACAGTTCCTGGTAAGCCGGGTGTCTGTCTGCCTGCCCACAGCTTTGCACCAGTGCAAGATGATCTGTGTTTGCACCTACTGCAAGGTGAAGGGTTGCGTGTTCCTGGCGCAGCTCTTTTAACCCGCTCCTCTGTGCCATTTGTGCTGTGCAGCGGAAAGTGAAGGAGCTGGAGAAAAGGATGGAGAGAGCAGCATGATTTGCTGTGCATGACAAGGTCGACCAGCCGCGACAACCTGTGCCCCATTACTGCCAAAGCGTGCAGCAAGTATAATATGGGCTCAGGGCTCTCGTTATCAGGGTAAAATACCCTTTTTGCACTGACTGGCGGCCGCTTTTTTTCAGTTACCCGTTCACAGACAGGGTAGTGGATTTTTTACCCTAGGCCAGAAAGTGTAAGTTTTTTTGTACCCTTTGAAAAACAGCTTAAGGAACATATTTCCCTGACTGTACAGTGTACAATCCCAGTAATACTGATACCGAATGCTACGTGGCGAGACGAAACACTGTGCGGGCCCCTGCCAAAACACTTCACCGAAATTTGAACCTGCGCCTTTCAGGCTCTATTCCCTAACACACCAGCTGAGCCACTAAGCCTTGAATTTAAAAACTCAGAAATATTTATAGAGTAATCTCTAAAAAAAATACCCTTGCCAAACAGTGTTACAGTTTTTTTACCCTGCATTTGTCAGGGAAACAAAAATTTTACCTTAGGCATCAGGGTTGACTATACCTAGAACCCTGATTACTAAGGGTGGCCCAAAACGAATCTGAAGCCCTGTATGGGCTTCTGGTTTTGTGACCTTGACAAACATGTAGATTAGGTAGTATCGTGCATAATGTAGCAACTTGGTAAAAGTCAATAGGAACTCAATACTCCCAACGATGTACAGTGTAACAACCATGCCTCGTATTTTCCTCCCTCTGGGGGACAGTCTTTCACACAAATGATTGGAGTACTGTGCACTGTAATGTTTGTAGAGGAAAAATAGCTATCGGGCTGCTGGAAAGCAAAATGTTACCTACAATATGTATGTAGATATGTGTTTCCATAAATAACATACCAGCATGGCTCCAACCACGCCACCTCCCTGCTCTGAGCACTTCCCCTTACAATCTCTAGCACACCCCGTTGGTCTTGGCAATGCTGTTCTTCTTGAACACCCTGAAGGTGCGCTGGCGCAGCGCAGACGAGTCCATAGAGTGGCTGTGCTCCAGCTTACTGGGGGGCATCAGCCGTGTGCCTGCCAGCGGCGACAGCACATACAACTCATCCGCTGCCAGGTCACGTGCCAGCTTGGATCCAGGCTTGGGAACCTCTACTGTAATGGGCTTATGTTCGGGCACCGAGGCAACCGCAGCAGCAGCGGCCTCAGCCGTGGATTTGGTGCGGGGCATACCCACGCCCCTGTCCTCCAGCATCTTTACTGTCATGCGCAGGTCGTTCAGGAAGCGATCCGCAAGCGAGCGAGAGAAGTCCTCTCGGACGAGAGCGCGCAACATTGTAACGTGTTCAAGATCAGGTGCCATGGTGTAGGCGGGGATGATCCACCCGAACTGCTTCAGCACATCAGCAATGTCATACTCGTTGAAATTGCTATTCTTCTCCTTAAGAGCGAAGGTGACGAGTGGCACACCAACATCCTTGGAGAGGATCTCAAAGCACCCCATGTCCTCGATGGCCTTCTTCAGATACATGGCGTTCGTCTGGCAGTTGCCTATGATCTTGCGGTAGCCCTGTGCATGGCAGCGGGGTTTTGGGGGGGTTGGAAGGTGTGGGTAGTGGGACGGATGGGAAGGATAGGGAAAGGATGTTAAGGGGGGGAGGAGGAGGGGGGTGGGAAGGGCTAGAGCGAGAAGACAGGTGCGGGGGACAGACAGGCCAACACGACGGGTTCTTTATAACTAGCCCAAGCAGTTAAGACTAGCAGTGTTAGCCAAGTTTCGTACATTCAAACGATCGATCAGAGCTCACCTCAAAGCCAAGGCGGACAAACTGGTAATACTGTGCGATCAGCTGGCTGGAGCCTGCATTAGGAAATGCGGGTGTGCGAGAGTGAAATGGGGGTTGCAAGTGAATGCGTGTTTGATTCACGTGGGATCACGGATGCGTGGAAGGAAATACGAAGAGAGGAAAAAACTGTAGTAGGGAACAGTACATTTTTCAGCTAGTTGGTTCTGTGGGATGATACTGCTGCTCACACTAGATTATTCCCCCCCTTATCCCCGAATTTTCCCAACTAAACTTCCGATTCCTCACCCATCATCCCATCTCAGCGCACCTTTGGAGAAGTTGAGCGTGAAGGTGGGCTGGTCAGCGCCCAGGTAGTTGACGTGGAAGATGAGGTCCTCGGGGAGGTCGGCCTTGCTGCGCCACACCACCCACCCCACGCCGGGGTACACGAGCCCGTACTTGTGCCCGCTCACGTTGATGGACCGCACCGTGGGCAGCCGGAAGTCCCACTCCAGCTCCGGCCACAGGAACGGCGCCACGAACCCCCCGCTCGCCGCGTCCACGTGGATCGGCGTGTCCCACCTGTAATGTGCGGAGAGGGTGCGGGGGAGAGGGAAGGGGAATAAGGGGAGGCAGGAGCGCTGGAATGAAAGAGGGAAAGTGACTCCAAGTAGGGGAAGATGTCACTAGCTGCACATTGGTTACTAACGGCCATTGATCTAAAATGAGTATCCAATAACTTTTTTTAAAAGCTGCTTACCCCGTCTTGGCATTCTTCTCCATGAGAAGATCGTTCAGAAGCTTGATGTCCTCAAATTCCCCGTTATAGGTGGACCCGAGAATGCCACAGATGCAGATGGTGTTTTCGTCAACAGCCTCCACGGCATCGTGCGGGTCCATCACGAACGACCCTTCCTTCACATTCACGAACTTGGTCTCCACCTCGAAGTAATTAGAAAACTTCTCCCAGCACACCTGAATATGGATCGAATCAACCGGCAAACGCGAAAACGGTAGAGGGTATGGGGGTGCAAGGGAAGACGTTAAATGGTTTGGAAACGCGAGACGCAAACTTGCAAAAGAAATAAAGATCAGAAACAGCATTCAGCAATTTTATAAACAATGTAGTTTACCTGGACTTCAGAGCCGCAGACGAAGTTGGGCTTATCGTACGGCTTCCCCTGCGCCTTACGCTTCTCCTGCCACTTGCGCTTGAACGCGAGTCCCGCCAGCATGATTGCCTCTGACGACCCCACGCACCCCGCGCCGATCGCGCCCTCTCCATCCCCAAGAGGTGCGTTGAATAGATTCGCGATAATATTCACGCAGCGCTCCTGCAAATGAGAAAAATAAAAGACATGAGAATAAATGTTGAGAAAACATTGTACGGCAAAAAAAGAAGCACACTTGCCAGCCATTGGACAGGAATGCGGACCTGGAGTTCATTGGTGACTGGGTACTCCTCAATGTTGATGTAATTCTTGTTAAGGGATTCCATAATGAGCCGGTCGCACTCAGGCTCCATCCATGTCGTCACGAACGACGCCAGATTGAGCCGCGGGTTGCAATCCAGCAGCAGCTCGTCGTGAATCATCTGATAAGCCGCCTCCTTGGGGATACCTTCCTTGGCAATCTGATACCTGTAGTATTGCAAAATGCAGGTTTCTTAGAATAGTTTAAGAATATTTTCACTACGGTGGTCTCGCAATGTGAAAGATGGAAAGTGACTTTCCGCTGGCAACAGCATTTTCCATTAAAAAACCTTGCGTGGATGCAGGAGAAAAGAGAAACTTTTACTTGGGAACGCTCGCAGATGTGTAACGCGAGGCGAAGACCGACTCGACGACATGGTCCTCGCCAGCACCAGTCGTTGTGTGAAGCATGGCTGCAGACGATAAGGACACGCTCTTTGCAGGAACGAGGATTAACAGCTCGAAATAGGAAGCTGGTACCGTGAAAAATACAGCAGATAACTCTCGGTACACACGAGTGAGGTGAACGCGTGTCTTGAAATGCAAGCTCTTCACAAACTCAAGAAAATGGCGACTTCACACAAACCGATGTTTCAACCCTCCCTGCTTGATTGGAATTCGGTTGGGTTGGGGACAGCAGGATGGTGCAAAATACTGGTTCAACATTGTGATTGGTTCGGCATTACCTAGGGAATTACCTTACCTCTCAAATTTAGGTTTGGTGACTTGGTCGAGATTTACCACAGGCTCGGCACAGGTGACCCTGCATTCACCATGCCCTGATGCTCGACAAACTGCCCGGTCAGCTGTGGGTTTCATTGGACCACGCTATGGCCCGATGAAAAAGGGCAGAAACCCAAATCGCCAAAAAACAACCACAGACTGCGCTCAAGAATCAGAGAGGCTGACCTGGCATTCGGGTGTGTTGAAAAGTTATGATTGGGGGCTCGCAAGTCTGGGAAGCGGGAATCACGGATACAGAACAGATATCTCTTTGAGCCCGCTCATAATTGCAGCTGGACACGTGGCTATATGAACCGTACACCTTCTTAATTGACAAATTATAAATTGCACAAAACGGGAATATGGGAATGCTCACAGCTCAGTGATTCCAGCAACCTGTATCTCATGCATACAAGATCTTAGTTTCATAGATACACAATTTCATATACAGCACCACAATGTCATGCGCAATATGATGGGAAACATGCAAGCATTGCATCAGCCACAGCAGTTTCATGCTCTGTGTGCTTCCCCTCCACCATCGGTGCTTCTAGCACACCCCATTAGTCTTGGCAATGCTGTTCTTCTTAAAAACCCTGAAGGTGCGCTGGCGCAGCGCAGATGTGTCCATTGAGTGGCTGTGCTCCAGCTTATTGGGCGGCATCAGCCGCGTGCCCGCCAGCGGCGACAGCACATATCCCTCGTCCGCATCCAGATTCCGTGCGAGCCTGGACTTTGGCTTGGGGGCTTCCCCTGCCACGGGCGCCTCCTCAGGGATGGAAGAAACTGCAGGAGCAGCAGCAGTGGGGGCTGCCGGAGTGACTGTGCGTGGAGCGGTGGTGGCCCGGTCCTCCACATCTTCACTGTCATGCGCAGGTCATTCAGAAAGCGGTCGGCAAGCGAGCGAGAGAAGTCCTCTCGGACGAGAGCGCGGAGCATTGTAACGTGCTCGAGGTCAGGGGCCATGGTGTAGGCAGGGATGATCCACCCAAACTGTTTCAGCATGTCAGCAATGTCATACTCATTAAACGAGCCATCCTTTTCCTTGAGTGCAAAGGTGACAAGGGGCACACCAACGTCCTTGGAGAGGATGTCAAAGCACCCCATGTCCTCGATGGCCTTCTTTAGGTACATGGCGTTCGTCTGGCAATTGCCTATGATCTTGCGGTAACCCTGTCGAGAGAATGGTTGGAGATGTGGGAAAAGATGGGATTGAAAGGAGTCGTCTGACTCACGTTACTCGAATCAGCAGGGACGCGAACAAGGGTACAGCACCGCGTCCTGGCCACTACAGTTCGTTTCCCTTGTATCGCTTGCACGATTTCGTCAGTGGTTCGCTCTACTCGCAAGCGCCCCCTGCGCCTGCACAAAAATTTTCAAGCTATGATTGACGAGGGAAACTGTTACCTCGTTTTCAACGTTGTCAGAGCACTGTTGATTCGTGTGGCGGGGAATGTGTCCGCGCTTCTGAAATTACAGGATGGTTGGACTCCACTCACAATGCATTCGTTTCTAGGTACGGTAGTCATTTTTGAACCTCGATACGTGCGTTGGCACAAAAATCCCGAAATGAACGAACTGGACACGCCCTAATAGTTCCAATAGAAATGGTGGCTTTCCTGATGTATGAAATTCCCTCCCAGTACACATAGAGATTGGCATGGGACTATGGGAAAGATAAGAAAAACAGCCCAATCAGGTTCGTTCGACAACATCCGGGCTGCACGAGCCTGGTTTGGTTGCAATGTTTCGTGAAAAGGAATTCGGCTTGAACTCGGTTCGGGTGGCCGATACTTGAGGGAGTGACGTGGCGGTCAATAAGGGCGTGTGAGGTCTTTGTAGAAGTTCAAAATAAAGTTCGAACTTTGGGTGGTTACCCTATTTGCTAATTTCGCGAAGGGTGCTTCGGGAACCAAGCATTGTATGGGCTTTGCAAAAGTTCGAGTTTGAAATATGAACTTGACTCGAGTCGGAGGCAGGAACGTGCGTGCGCACGTTCATGCGAGCGTGTGTGATTTGCAGCACGTCCGAACAGCTGGCGAAACGGGCGAGCGCTTCGCCAATGCATAAAGTTGCACAACGAAGACACCCCACAACTCGTGCACACAGTGGTAGCCACGTGTCCAGCATCGTGGCATGTTCGAGCACGATGTGGCAACGCGTCCCGCCCGTCTTGACGTCAGTCAAAGAAACTCCCGCCCTTGGCCAATCCACGTCCCCCGCACCAAATGTCTTTGAAATCCTGTGGGAGTGGAAGGCACTCGATACATTCAAATATACCACCCTTCTCCAACACTTGTGTACTGTATACGCAAATTCCATTCGACATGACAAACGGCAACACTAGCGCCCATGGCTCTGCCACACCGGCAGATGCTACCACTCCAACAGCCTCTACACCCGCATTTGTCGCTGCACCGGTCCGCGCACCCGCACCTCAGCGGCGTCGGCGTGCTGCCGTTGATCCGGCCGCTTCGTGGCGCCTTGGAGTTATCGACCTGGACGATATCGTGGCGCGTGTGCCAAACGGGAACACTCCTCTAGGTGCTGACGACGACACCCTCGCGTACGTCGACGCAGACGAAATCGACTGCCATGGCGAAGACGGCGCCGACGACGACGCCGATGCAGCGACGCCCATCGACAAAAAAGGGTGGGAGCCGGCGGAAGTCATGCAGCTGGCGTGGATCCGCCACGACTTCGACGAGCAATATCGGAATCTGTGCCGCCTGCAAGGCCAGAACCGGGACGTCATGCTCTACGAGCAAGTCCGTCTTCGTCACCCCGGATGGCGCCATGGTCTCGCAGCCACGAAAGCCAAGGTTTTCCGTATGGAGGCTCAGTGGCGGAAGGTGTCGGATTTATTGCTAAAACCTTCCGGGAAGGGGAAGCCCCCTAAAATGCCTATTTTCTATGACATATTCGACAGGTTCCTAGGGGATCGGGCGAATGCGCGTCCCCCGGCGCTCGCGGGCCCCTTGATTCCCACAACTACTACCGCGCCTCCTCCTCCGGCTCGTACCATTCCTAGTAAGTGTTGATTGCTGTTTGATGTGATCCTCTTTTTTACTGCTCATAATTTTAGATTGATGCTACTAATACAACCATTCAACAAGGTGGCATGTAAGAATGAAACCACCCAACACCCCCCTATGCGACGCCCATCACCGGCAGATGTGGCGTCTCCTACCACCGCATCAGCGGTGTCTGCAGGGCCCGATGGCGTAGCGGCATCAGCAAGCCGAGCGCAGTCGGCTCGTCGCTCACCCAATCCCCGCCGAGTGACGGCTTCGCCTGGTCACTCTCCTTCACGCCAGCCATTTTCGTCTCCGTCTACGTCTGCGCTTGCGCCGGACGTGTCCCCCGCCGCTGCCACCGCCACTGCATCTCCATCCCGTTCACACGTCGTCGGCGCGAACGCAGGTGTTGCGCTCCGTGGCCGCGGTGTCTCCCGCCGGCCTGGGCCTGCGGCTGCGGAAGAGGAACATTCGGGCAACGACACAATGGGAGGTGGTGTTGGTAACCACATGAACTCAAGTGATTCAGTGCTGTGTGCTGAAATAGCGGGGATAATTGCGCAATCGGTAAAAGGGGCTATGCGGGACCAATTTGATGAGTTTTTAGAACGTACCCAAGAGATGGTTGAGAGAGCTCAGGATGCCCGAGCCTCCAGGAAGCGTAGAAGTACGCCGCCAGGCGAGATCGACGACGAGTCGGAGTAAAGCCCGCATCGCGCGACGAGAAATGCGGGGCCTCCGCAACGGGTCCTTCCAGCCACCAAGTGTTGCGCTCACGAGGTTCGTTCAGGCGGTGACGGAAACCGAGGACGAGGTCGATGTTGTGAAGCACGATGCAGGCGGATACGACCTGCGGGGCGCGGATGACGTCGCACTCGAGCGCCCGTCCAGGATGCGCCATTTGTCTTCAGCCTCCCGTTCACCTGCTCCACAATCATTCGAGTGCGGGATGCTGGAGGTTCCAGACTCGCTGATGGTCGGGAAGTGCGATGCCGGGAAGGGCACGATAGGGTGTGTAGATGTAGGGCCTCAATCCATAAGCAGCGTCCGCTACTAGCGTGTAGTCCAATATCCCTCCCTTCAATTTTAGTTCTTGCAGGGCTGTCATGAAAACCGAGCGTCGTTGACGCTTCCGGGATATCCTACAAAAAAGTCTCAGATGAGACCCATGCTGTCGCAGATTAGTTGGCAAATAATAGAAAAGAAACCTTTCCTATTTCTGAAGTCTTCGCAATGTGGTCCCATGCCACGGCAGTGTATGTAGGTCCCGTCCATGGCGCCTACCACCCCAGGTATTCCGGCTTGAAGGCGAAACTCTGTCTCGAACAACTGCAGCATGTCCATGTCTGGCCACACGACCCACTTGGGCAGGAGGACTTCGTTGACGAAAAAAACGAACCTCGCAAACAGCTTGTGGGCGTTGGAGAAAGAGTAGCCAAAGTGAAGCCCAATTTCGCGAAATGTGAGACCATGCCCAAGCCTGCTAAGTCCCATGGCGACGAATACAAAGTTATGCACAGGATGCTTAAGTGTAGCGAAACGGCTGCGCTGATACTGGCGCACTAAGTACACGAAAAACGCGTTTGTCAACCCGCAAATACTCATAGAAAAGTGTACTCGGGCAGGGATGTTATCAGTCGAAACCAACGCACACGTGCGTCAAGGCGGTCGCCAAGCACGAACACCCGGATCTGCTTGAGAGTGAAGGCCGAGACGAGCGTGGGGAGTGCCGTGCCAACAAGCGTTGAGAACGGGAAGCATCACCATCTGCAAGTACCCTTGCCATACGATGCCGAGAAAGCGGACCAGCTGTAGGGTTGTCATGTTGGGCGAATGACGAGAATACAAGGTGTTGCTACGGGGGCTATTTGTACCCTGGTTACACACTCGGCGCGGAAGGTGAGTTGGAGCTCTAGGTCTTTGTAAACCGAGGCGCAAAATGTTGACGTGGCGCACTGTCAAGACTCTCGAACCGGGTAACCTATGATGTTGATGTGCGGCTCGGCTCGTTTTTACAAGTTCGAATGTCGGGGTTCGACCTGTATGTGTGTGTGATTTTTTACAGTGTGGTAAGCCCGATGTTCGAACTTCGATAGAAGGAAATTCGAACTTCTTTCGTTGTAAGTTCGAAACTAAAATTCGCCTAAAAACATAAATTTTACAAATTTCAAAGACCTCACACGCCCTAAGTATGTGGATATTCCCTCACCCCTAGGAGGCTGATCTGGCAAGATGTTTTTTGCGCATTCTGCGTGAACAAGTTCTCTTCGCGCGGTTCGGAGTCTGGAAAGCGTAACGTCCAGCACAGCAGCACCAGATAAGCAGTGCGATCAAGCCATCAATATATTACCCACTTTTGCTTGCTGCCAAGGTACGGAATGATCCACTCCAGACAGACAGTGTACCTCTCAGGGACTTGATATGGAACCCATGTCTAGAAGTTATTGCTGCATATTGCAGGTTTACTAAGGTTGACAGCTTAGCATACTTCATTAACAATGCGGTCATTGCAGCGCACATGCAAAACCAAGCGTCGATAGCAGAGATTGCATAGAAAGCTAACCAAAGGTCTTCATGGCAATACCACCACCATAAACGGGTGTCCCATACCACAGCCTGTCACAAGCCTCTGAGCAATTTCTTGAGCTTCCTCCTTGAACTCTTAGAAGACTCCGTGTGTGAGCCACGCTTGCTCGAATTCTTGCCGCCAGCTTCCTTCGCTGGAACTTTGCCTCTGCTGTCTTTGGCAGCCGCAGATTGGCCTGTCTTGCCTCCAGCTTCACCTCCACTGGCATCAGCACTCCAGGCAACACGGTAACTCCAGAAATTGTACACACCAGGAGAGAACACCAGTGCTGTGAGCTTCACACTAGTTTCCTCCCCTGGAGCAAGCTTGGGAATTTGCATGGCAGTCTGGCCGGCCCACATGTACGGTCCACACGCTGCTGTGCCACACGCCACCTCATCACCACCCAGCACACCACCTCCACCTGAGAAACCTCCTGCGAAGCTTCTAGGAGTCGCTACTGTGCCGCCGTCCTGGCCATCCAAGTTGTTGGGGCAGTAAAAGCCAGATTTCTCAGGCAGATTCGAGCCCAGAGTGGACGCATTGACATCTTTTCCACAGCAGGCAGCAGTGCCGGGTCGAACGTGTGGACAGCAGCAGAGGCAGGGGAGGAGGAGCAGTTTCGGAGGAGGAGCGTGAGAGAGACGGGGCAGGTGGGGTTGGACGAGAAGTCGTGCTGGAGATAAGATGGCCCGTCCATTCTCCATCGCACAGCAGCAGATGCAGCAGTGGAACCAGCATTGGCGGCAGAAGCATTGTCTGCTGCTGAGCCGCTCCCTGCAGAAGCTGCTGCTCCTGTAGCAGCCCCACTAGCTGTTCCCCCTCCTCCTCCTCCTGCACTTGTGCTAGCACTTGCAGTCGCAGCAGCAACAGAGGAGACACCGTAAGCTGGGCCTACCTGGCAATTACAGATATGATGCGTCCCTATGCACACCCTATTCACGTTCCTGTCGCTCGCGTTAGTATCATCTTCGCTAGACGCTGTCTTGCTGCTGCTACTTATCGCACTTTTAGGTAAAACCAGGGAAGGCACATCTGATCCAGATGCGGAACCGGCAACCCCACCAGCAGCAGCAGCCCTACCATCACTCCCATTCCCTGGCCCCTGCTCCGATACTCCCATAAAAGTACCACATCCAGTAGTTCACCCCCTTGCCCACGCACACTTCCCCCTCCCCCTGTGCCTCCCCCTCCCCCACTGCCTGAGCGCCAACGGGCCGTGAGCCAATCCCAGGGCTCCCCGTCCCCCGCTCCCCCTCCTCCTGGGGGAGTGGGCAGGAAGGTGGGCGGCTGGGGGTGAAATGGCCGCGGGGGGAGAGAGGAACGGAGCTGGGCGAGCGGTGTTGAAGCGGGAGTGGTGCAGAGAGATGTGCAGAGGTTGCTTCGGAGGAGGGGCGTCAGGGTTGGTGACGGGATCTGGGGGAGGGAGAGCCTGGGAGAGGTAAGATCGAGGGTGGCAGGAGGCGCAAGAGGGGGAAAGAGCTATCACTGGTTATTAAAGAGAGAGAGACTGTGAGAACAAACAGTGGGAGCATTGTACATGGGTACTCAGACTTCCGACTTCCCAGAGGTGAAACTTTGCGATGCAAGTGTGGGCATTCAAGCAATGGCATTCAATCTGGAAGGCAATAAACGAACAGACATGCGTTCCAGATTCCACCACGTTGACCCAAAACCCTTCCATATGTGTGGGGTGTGCATGGAGAGAGTATTGGGGAGGATCAATGAGAGGGATGTGTGAATGCGCTTAGGACTTCAAGAGTTGCGTGATTCACCTGGAACACGTGATCACCTGGAACACTCGTTCCCTGAGGTGCAGGGCGTGCAAGGGGTCTCTGCGGATGTCAATGAGAGGCTCCGCCTGCCCCCCCATCCTCGCATCACTCTTGAAGCTCTCCCTGTCCGCGCGCTCGTTCTTGGCTGACGAGGCGAAATCCTGCGATCGATGAAAGAAGGAATGACAGTTTTTAGGTGAGTCGAGTGAGAAGGGTTGTTGCAGGCACAAATGAGAAGACATGCCTGCCTGCATGCGAGGGCTCAAGTTGCTGTCG